AAAGGTGCTGTCTTGGTCGGCATAGGAAATATGCTATCTATGGGAGCGGCAAGGGGAACCGGCGGGCGGGCCCGGTCTGCTTGTGGGTGTCCGGAAAATCTCTGAAAATTGGCATGAATGAAACGATTGTTTACATTAAATTTTAATATATATAAACGTCTATTTTTAGGTTCCTGTCTCTCAAAAGGTTAATATGTATTGTGTTTCCATTCACCACATTTTTGTTCTCTCCCTTTATGTTTAGCAAATGGTGTTAAGCGGCAAAGGACAATAACTCTTAACATAGATAGGTCACAAAGTACTTATCTCCCATGTCAAATGTGAATGGCTGTAAATGGTTGTGAGGTACTAAATGAGCGATGAGTTGTAAAAAGATGCTGTAAGAAGAGTGAGACTAAAATAGGTTTTGGAGCACCACACTAAATACCGTATTCCGGTATATACCGGACAAGGCGCTTGAATGATTAAATGTTAAAATCTCGCGTTTTCACCCAACGAAACGCACTTTAAGGTGCCTAATTCATCTGTTCACATCGATTTATATATGATAATGAATGAAAAATGTAAAAATCGGCATAAGAAAAGCAATATTTTTCTATTTTATGATCATGATTTCTGCAAGCTCCTGGAGGTACTGCTCCAACACTGTGGTGAATTAAATCCATTTAAATAATTAGAGGAAGTCAAAACTAAGTTATTAATGCTGACGTCAAAACAGCAGACGACCATTACCTTCCCAGACGACAATGCTTCAGATTGAGCGTAAAAATGATCAGATACTAAAAAACACTGATGGGGAAAAGACGTCAATCTTAATGCTCAGTGTTTAAAGGACAACCAATATATCTAAACTGTAATTTTTAGGAAAGAGACCACTTAGTGATGAAGGTGCCTGTCTCTCTAAACTCTAAAACCGTAGGTTAGGACCTCACTCGGGTCACGACGGTGTTTCCTCATATTAAAAAAACACCTGTTAGTTTATACAAATTTATTTTAGTTCGATTGTGTTGGAAGCTATAAGCTTATTGAAAAACTTTCGAAAAACCTGTTAGATGCGAGAGGCAGGATCGGCAGTGGCTGAAATTTGGACTAAGGTTGTTTTACACTCAAGTTATAAATATATATGATTAATTGAGCGAAAAGAGTGATTAAATTACTCATAGCTCAAAAGGACTCCAAAGGGTTTTTCTCTCAACTTAATTGACATGAAAGGAGTAATTATATTTATTTGTAATTGGTAATTGATTCCCAATTGAGAAGTGTTGCAACACTTCTCTCCAATCGGCATAAATACTGCATAAAATCGATTATCATCAATTCCGTACCGAATATATTAAGATATTATGTATTGCTATTGCATCAATTGTTTTATGAAAGATTTTCAAATTTTATGCTGTAATGATATCATTCCTCTGTGGAGTTCCTTTAAGTTTTATGCACCCTTGGATTTTAAGGCGTTTGGAGCACAACATCATTTAGAAGTTTTTGTGTTTAAAATGAATGTAAGACAGGTATTTTAAATTGATATTGAAGACATAATATGACAAACGTCTGCGATAACAGAATTATAAACTTTCAGACGTGTATTTTTATGTATCGGGATATTGTGGGGAAGGGGAGATAATATTTATATATATATTTAATAACTCCTCGCAGCGGTTACTTCCCCTGATAAGTACATACCAGTTGAAGTATTAAAGAGAGTGGCGTAACCGACCGGCTCCTTATTGAGAGGTGAACAAAAGTTTTGACAATAAAATGTTTATAAAATTTATTGTAATTACAAGCATTCAATACTAATTAATATAATACGAAATAAATATACATATAAATATACATTACAGATACACGAGATTTCTTTGTTCGATATAAATAATGTACAAATATTGGAAAAGGGGAGATTTCTAAACAACAGTAGCATGGAAAAAAAGGATAGTCGGCCGAAGTAAATCTGGTTACCTTACATATGTTTTCCCTAAGTTTTCGATACCTATATAAGAATGTTAACAATGCTTGCATAAAAATGACATAATAATTTCTTGTAGCTAAGAAAACAAAAACAAAACATTTTGTAAGCATAAAAGTTGAATTATAAGCATATTGATACTGATGTTTTTTTCAAAGTAAACCTACATTATCATGAACGTTATTGGTGGTCTCGTTATTTTGGACAAAATTTATAATATCTATAAAATATAATAACTCATTAGTATTTAAGATATTTATAAAATGTAATAACTCACAGAAATTGTAATGAGATCTAAACGCAGCGTTTTGTGGGAGAAAGTATGGTTCAACAGAACTTAAATATCTGAGCAATTTTACTAGTAAGTTAAAAAGACTATCCTGTACAGTTTATTTTATAATGGCAAGAACTATCCTTTACATTTTATTTTAGAACTATCCTTAAAACTTTATTTTAGAATGGCAAAAACTATCATTTACATTTTACTTTAGAACTATTTCAAAATTTAGAATGGCAAAAACTATCCTTTACATTTACTTTTAGAACTATCCTTAAAACTTTATTTTAGAATGGCAAAAGCTATCATTTACATTTTATTTTAGAACAATCCTTTACCATTTTATTTTATTATGTCAAGAACTATCCTTTCCTTATAATAACATTCCAAGATTTGTGTTTGTAATTTTAAAATGACCAATGGTTATTCTTGTTTTATTCAGTTCTTTCTTGTTTAATTGTACAGGAAGTAAAAATGATTTCAGATGGCATTCGGCCGGAAGACTGAAAAAATTCAGAATCGTTTTTTGAGTTTGTTTACGAGATATTGAAATAACCAATGCAACATCTCCCACAAACATCGACTTTAGAAGTATTCAGTCAAAAACAATAAACGTAGAAGAATTAATGAACCCGTAGGACCAAGAAAATATTCCAAATAGAGAAAAACGAAATCCGTAAAGAAAGTCCAAAAAGGCTAAATTGAAAATGTTGTAAGTTCGGTTTAATTGAGACTGTTCATGAAAAAAGTTTTATGTACTGAAATTGTCAATATTTACAAAAATAAGAAAATGTATAACTAACAAAACTACATTATTAAACAAAACGATGATGATATATTACATATGATTAAATGATTGATGTATATGGTAGAAAATAACTAAACCTATGAATAAATAGATAATTTCCTATTTTTACAATATTTACCTCCCTTGCCTAAATGGCAGCCATTTATTGGATCAATATTTTATATAATACAAGTATTAGCATTTCCAATAATGCTTCCGACTTCCCTCGCGGCGTGCATGTCGCTTGGAAGGCATAGGTCACACCAGATGGGTGATCTAGTTAGGTCACTTAGCTGGTGTGACCTAACCAACGGCGAGGGGTGTGGCCCTAAAGAGAGCTGCTGCTCCCGGAAGAGGTACCTTTCCTCTATTGTCAACCATTGTTCAAGAAGCGAGGAATTGGGTCCTAGAGAAGGTCTACGACGAACGACAGCATGAGAAGACCTCCGTCGCGGCTCTACGACATCGACGACGTTGCAGGCGAATAAGTCATCCGTTGCAGGCTCTACGACCAGCAATCGTAACAGAGGCCGATTAGTCTGGGACATATGGGAAACCGGCGCCCAGTATAAATAAAACCTAAAACAACAACAAAAATTCCAATAATGCTAGGAATCGCCAAGTAGCCGGGTATTTGATTTTTTTTGTCGTGAAATAGGCTCCTTCCTGAACAATAAAGCCAATGGGTTTTCTTTACAGAGAAAAAATATTCCATATATTGTTCACCCCGCAGGAACTTACACTCGTACATAAAGATCTTATTTCCATTCTATGTATAGGTATTCCGACAAAAACATGGCGGATGGTTTACGCCTTTGGCGCCCCTTTTTGAGGTCTTTTGTCGTCCATTTTGATATCATGTGGTATTGAATTCTCCGCTTTGATTGGATTGGGGCAGGCGGTGTACGGTTAGAATTGGTCAAATCTTGTTTATTGTATATGTCGCAAGGAACAGCGTCTATGACAAAACTCTTTAAAAACAGCTGATTTAGGTGAACTGTCAATTTCTTTTAAAATATGATATGCCAAAGGATTTTTATTAGTTTTCATAAAGATGATATAATTATGAGAGATGTTTATCTTAAATATGATATATTAGAAATGACCTTAAAAATGGCGGCGGCCAGGGGAGATAATAATTGCAAAAATGTGAAAGGCAACTATTTACATTATGAAATTATAATGAAATAATGATATCAGACCGAACTTCGTCACGTAGGCTACGCGACATTATGAGTGACCTTGTCAAAAAAGTCATATAGTTGCCACATTTATTGTAAAAATTATGTAATATATTCATGTAAAACTTTACTGAAACTGATTTGCGTATATTTGAATAACAGTGTTTAACTTATAATGAAAGAGTTAATAGACCGAACTGTCAAAAAGTAACGCAGATTGTCAAATTAACTTTAAATGTGAAAAGATACGCCTAACTATGAATTATTTTAGCTTTTATTACAATTTATTTATAAACTAAAAATATTAAAAAAAATATGAGAAAAAATCAGTCAATTAAAATGCACGTATGTTTTGTTATTCTGAAATGTATTCACAACTTTCCATGCTTGCATGAAATTGACATTATGCTAATTTTCTGCTGTCGAGTTGAATTCAACATATATTTTAAAATAGTCCCTACTTTAATTATTGACCAATATTTGACAATGATTAATGAAAAAAGAAATTAAACGATTTCATCGCACATATGTGGCCGATAAATTCAGACGAATATAAACTGAAAGTTCAGTCGGATGCCTGGTTTTAAAAATAGATGTAAAAAAATGATTAAAAAATTATGGCAAATTGTAAAGGAATTTAGACTTTTACCAGTACACTCACTATATATACTTCCATGAACACAATGCCACTTGGAATGAAAATTTAAAAAGTCAGAAAAAAAGCACATTGTATAAAAAGTATAAATGCAAAATTAACACCCTAAATGAATATTTAAAATATATATAATTTAGCTACATATTTAATAAAATCAATGTCCTTCTCTTCCAATACTCGCTTACTGTCGTCTTCCGTTTCATCAATTATTTTATAATCGTCCATGTTATAATACTCAGCATTCATATAAATTGGCTATCTTTACTCTAATGTTAACGTTACAAGCGCATCATCATCTTTACCATATAGTTTCCCAACAACATCAAGTAACTTCGTCTTCTGTGGCCCGCTACCAGCTTCATTTATCTGGAAATTCATATAATCATGTACACTTTATCAATCCTAGTGATGATGATGGTGATTTTGGCTTGGTTCACTAGATGAGTTAGCCTTATGCTTCGAAATTTGAGATTTATCTTGCTGTACTGTATGCTCTGTTTCTCTGACCACGTGCTCTACGTGTTGAACATCAAAACCTCCTCCACCTACTTCTGTCCCGTTCACAGCTTTAGCCGGTGATGCTGAATTACTACTTGCTGGTGTATTGGGGTCTGGAACGTTCTTTTTTATTACCGTTTGTTTTACTGATTTTGTTTTCACAGATGTTGACGTACTGTTCGTTTCCTTTTTAGCTTCTGCTATTGCTGTTTTTTCGGTTTTCACCGGTGGCGCATCATGCGCATGCGCATGCCCATGGTCATGATGAGAGTGGTCATGAGCAGCATGCGGATCAACAGCGGTTTTAGCGTCAACATTTGCTGACGCCGCTGTCTCGGCCCCTGCCTTTTCAGACGTATTATGATGAACCATTTCTTCAACAGTGTGTTGAATTTCTGATATTTCGGCTTTTCCTGACTTAGTTTCGGAGCCAGATTTTAGCAAAATTGTCGTGGTTTTCTTTGTCTTCTTTATAACTTGTGCATTTTTCTCCGCAGTCGCTTTTTCAGCGGCTCCGGCGTTTGCCGAAACAGTGTTTGCTGCCCCTTGACTTTCAGCTACACCATGCGCACCGTGATCGGTGTGACCAGCGTGACTTCCATGGTCATGGGCGTGACTTCCATGGTCATGAGCGTGACTTCCATGGTCATGAGCGTGACCACCATGACTATGATCGTGAGCTTTTGGATTAGATAATACTTTACTAGATGCTGTTGCGGTTTTAGTTGCTGTTGCATTTTTCTTTACATCTACCACTGTTTCAACTATTTCCGTTTGTTCAATCTTATGATGGTCACCAACTTTAGTAATTGTTATATTCTTTGTGTTAGTTTGGTTGACATTTGTTTCATTAGCTTCAAGTTTTGCCAAAGTAGTGTCTGCCACTGAAGCTTTTAAACCACCAGCTGTCTCTTTTACAGAGCTGGCAGATGACGTTATTTTGTCACCTAGTACTGAATTAGATTTTTGTTGAATGCTAGTGGTCTTTGACTGGCCTATTGGCATTTGGTTTAATCCATTACCTTGACTTGATTTAGTTTCGCTAATTAACTGCGTGTTAGTTTTATCCACTGGATTAGCATTTACCGAAGCAATGGCTTTGATATTTGGTATAACATCAACAGTTTTGGCGATGCCACTGATTGGAGCGGAATTCAGTGCATTACCGTTACTCATACTTGCTACATCAGCTAAGGTTAATAAGTCAGTATTTAAAACTGAATTTTGCTGAATTCCACCACTAGCTTTAGGGTCCAATTCATTAACCGTAATAGGCAGACTGCTTTCTTTCATTAGGTTTGCATTAATTCCATTGGTAGGTACAGTTCTGCTTCCACCATTGATAGTAGATGTCGATGCGATAACTGAGTTACCATTTTTGCTATTGCTATTAAGAATACTTTGGGATCCTTGCTTAACACCCACGGTATTGCTTTTAGGGTTGTTTTGTTTATTTGCAATATTTTTGCGCCTTAATTGTTCCCATGTAGATGGAATATTGGGCATTTTTCGTCTCTGTTTCGATGTTCTCGTTGTTTTTGTGGTCTTAATCTTCTCAATAAATGTGTTGGACCTTGTCGTCTCCGAACTTTGGGTGTTGAAGATAGAGTCGATTGGTGTTGCAACTGCTACGGGAGCCTGTCGCCGCCCAGAGGGCACTCTCTGTAAAAACAATTAAAAAGAAATGAATACATAAATTTTATCATTTTGCGTAATTATAATCAAAGTCGCAAGCCGAGTGATAAATAATTATAGATATTTTTATACGAAAGACTGGTGGGAACATTTAAAGCTATGTATATTTACATGTTAATTCATGCTACAGATTAAAGATTAGCAACATGTATACAAAGCTTATTACAAAATATTAATGTTAACATTTATAGATGCTTTTTCCATAGCAGATATATTTATTATCTCCCCTGGCCGTCATTTTGATGGTCATTCCCAAAATATTTGTTTTTGCTTAAATGAGCTCCACATTAAATTTGAAATTCTTACTTAGATCAAAGGAGAGCTAATGTCAAGGCCTTAAGTTATAATATTTTCTTTTTTACATCGATCAAATTAGGCACTTTAAACAAAAACAATATGCAATAACAAAAATAAAAATAAATATAAATGATATCAATAGGGTTTACTTTAAAATCGTGTTTTAAGTGTGCAATTCTTAGCCCAGGTTGAGATAAAAAGCGTTATAAACGCTTTTCAATTTTGGGGATATTTTGCAAATCATTGAATTGAATATCATTCTGTTAAAATAGAGAGAGAGCTACATCAAACGCTACGAAAATTTTTAGACAATATTTGATATTTGACGGGACTCGTCATGTACACCCCATCCCCCCCAAAAAAACAACAACAAACAAACCCCAGAATGTAATATGATAATCATGGTGTATCTTTCTTCATGGCAACATGACATTTAATTAGTAAAAGCCAGTCAAATTTTACAACACATATGACAACATGTATATTGTTATATTTTATACCACACAAATCGCGGACATAAAAGATACACACATATTTTGACAGCTGAAAGCTATTTATATTAGTCGTGAACAACAGCTTTCAGTGTTTACATGTTAATAAACATTAAACTTACATCAACAAAAAAACAACAAAAAACATACGTACCGCTCTGTTTAGAACGACACAACACATAGTGTGACAATAATACAACAGTTGTAGCTTTCCTGTTTAACATGTATATTTCTTTCTTTGTAAGCGACAAAATGTGTACGGTAACAAAACGCGGGGGTTACAATAAAAGCAAATACATTGCGAAGCCTTTCGTTTTAAACAATGTTAATATGAAAAGCACGTTCAGAATTTTACAAGGCTATGATTTAAATTCATGTATAACTATGATGCAAAAGTTGTTAGAAAACGAAAGAACGTTTAAGTCAGAAATTCAGGTAGATGTATAATTATAAATAAATCTTATATATGTATATGAATATAATATGAATCTTGCAGCCATTTATACATTATGATATTTATCATTATATAACTTATAGATGAAATATGGTAAAATATTTATGAAATGAAATGCGTATTTTCATTTTCCGTATTTTCAGTGTAAAAAATTATTTTTCTCTACGGTGAAACAAATTTTCCGTCTTGCCGGACTTCTTTCTTCTAAATTCAGCCACTATACAAAAATCAAGGGAGTGTCTTTCACATTGTAATGTCAAAAAAAATAAAAAAAATATAATAAACAGAATCATCAAGGTTTTTTTTTTACACGAAATATTTATTTTCATCGAGTGGTATGAAAATAAATATTTCATGTATGGCGGTGAAATATTTTCTATATATCATATATTATAATAGGCTGCAAGAAAGCTGTCGATTTGGCGGGTGATTATTTCCCTTGATTTTTAAGTCACACGCTTCTCTTAAAAGTTGTCTCCCTTTACATTGTTGTGAAGAATGAAAATCAATAAACCAAGGAGGGCGAAGCGTATTTTTTAGTACGATATATGGCGACTAAGCTTCTTAGTGTGTTATTGCAATTTCAAAATTGACATTAAAATAAAAATGATGAACGCTATGCACATGAATATTCCACACACAATAGTATTTGTTAAACATGTATATAATACAAATATAAGAGTACATTGCTTTACGACAGAAAAAAATAAAAATATCTTTTTTTTAAACTATTGAAATAATTAAATATCTATATTTTTCTTCTGTTAAAATGTCAATATAATTATGTTAAGATTTTCGAAAGAAAAGTAGGCCGCAAAATATACTCTACTATACTCTATAAAGATTCGTTTTGTGAGAATTTTGAAAATCATATAATTATATTTGTGAATAAAATAAGAAAACATCGACCTTGTATGAAAAAAGTTAAAAAGGAATAAGAATGAAATTGAAACCTACCCTGAATGGTGGTTGGGTAGCAGGTTGTGCGGGAGTGCGTGGTGTATATCGAATCTGAAAACAGAATTTATGTCTAAACTGAAAACAGAATTAATGTATAAACTGAAAACAGAATTTATGTCTAAATTGAAAACAGAATTTTATTTCTAAACTGAAAACAGAATTAATGTCTAAACTGAAAACAGAATTAATGTCTAAACTGAAAACAGAATTTATGTCTACACTGAAAACAGAATTTTATTTCTAAACTGAAAACAGAATTTATGTCTAAACTGAAAACAGAACTTTATGTCTAAACTGAAAATATAATTTATGTCTAAACTGAAAACAGAATTTATGTCTAAACTGAAAAACGTGGTAATTCTATAATATTACTAATGTTTTACTGAGAACTTATTTTGCATAAAACATATTGACTGAGAACATACTGGATTTGAAACGTCTTTATTTTGAGTATATTTGATTTCAATTATTTTAAATGGGAACATATATCCTGGGTAAGGACACTCCTAGGCTATACTAGATACTACACATTGAAGATATTTGGCTTAAATTATATTGAATATGAACATATTGAACATATTTGGCTTCTATTATCATGAATAGGAACATATTGAAGATATTTGACTTCTGTTGTCATGATTAGGAACATATTAAAGATGATATTTGGTTTAAATTATATTGTATAGGAACATATTGGAGATATTTGGCTTAAATTATCTTGAGCAGGGACATATTGAACATATTTGACAACAGTTACCTTGGGGAGGAACATACTGAAACTATTTGACAGCAGTTATCTTGAATAGGAACATATTTCACATATTCATCAACAAATATTTTAGCTGAACATTTCTAACATTTGTAATTCTAAATGGGAATATATTTACTTCAAGAGCAAATGTTACCTCATGGTTCTTAATTGGAAACATATTTGATCACACTAATCTAATTGCGAACATATTTGATTGCGAACATATTTGATCACAATAATCTTAACCGGGACTATTTTTGATTTCTGGCTAACAAATATTGTTTGACATTTTTTTACCTTGCCACCAGGTATCCCTGAAGCCTGATTATTCGAATTGAGTTGTATAATTGTTGGTGCAAGCTGACCATTCATTCCACCAGTGGTTGAAGGATTACTGATGACAAACTTTGGATTCTTCAGCAAAATATACCTTAAATGATAGAGTAAAATTATTCACTATTAAATATAGAAATAGAAATTCACAATGAAATTTATGAAACAGGTTATGGAACTAAAAGAAGTGTATTGCAAAAATGAGACTAAATAAGACGCTGAATTATTGGCGATCTTTATTACCTATCTATACTATTCATACGCAATGAAATTGAAACAAAATTCGTAAATAAACTTAACTAAATATCTTTATTTGTTCAAATATCTTAATTAGGAACATATTTCACTTCAATTATCTTAACTGGGTTAGATAAAAGACCGCACAAACTAAGTGATATTTTTTAATGTAATAACAGTATCTCAGAGATAAATAGTCTCTAGTCACTTTGACAAGACTTGTCTGTTATATGTGTACTTAGTTCCCTTTTCCTTATTCCTTTTTCGAATAAGGAATAGGGAACGAGTTCCTGATTCCTTTTTCAAATCTAAATAAGGAACAGCAGAATTAGTATTTATATAAAATAAAATTATGGTTGATCAGAAAACTAAAAACGGTTCTTTCTTTCATAAAATTGCACAAATCAATCATCAAAATCATAGAATAAAGCATCTGCATCGACATATTTTGAAAATATGTTAAAGTCGAATAAGGAATAAGGAACTAGTTCCTTATTCCTTATTCAACTCCGAATGAGGAACAGAAGAAGATACGCCAATAGAGACAGCAGTTGCAGTTATGTCTGATATATCTGCATAAGAATTGCAAGGATCAAGCATAATAATTATTAAATAAAGCATCTGCATAAAATATTTGGAAAAAAATGTCGAATAAGGAATATGGAACCAGTTCCTTATTCCTTATTCAAATCCCAATAAGGAACAATAGAAAATACGTAAAGAAAGACATCAATTGCAGTTATTTTTGATAAACCTGCATTAGAATTGCAAGGATCAAACATTAAAATCATTGCAAAAAGCATCATCATGAAAATACTTTGAAAAAAAAAATGTTCAAGTTCATTCGACTCCGAATAAGGAACAAAAGAAAATACGTAAAGAAACACATCAGTTGCAGTTTTTTTTTATAAACCTGCATTAGAATTGCAAGGATCAAACATTAAAATCATTGCATAAAGCATCCGAATAAAAATATTTTAGGAACAGAAGTAAATACGTAAAAAAAGACCGCAGTTGCAGTTATTTTTAATGTGCATTGAAAAAGGTGATTCCCTGTCTATGACATGAAAGATATCCTCAAGTTTTTAAATGTTATGTTAGTAAACATTATTCATAAATAATTAATTATTTTTTATCACGTGACCTTCTCAGGTGCCCGCTCGCCACCTCGACCTTCCTCCACCAGTAAAGTTCGAAAAGTCGGGCTGATTTTATACCAAACAAACCAACAAACATAATTAATTAATTTATTTATTTACGCACGAGAAATAAGTTTATTTATTGCCAAATTGAACTTCTGTGTCATTACAAACCTGCAAATGTCATGAATTTATTTTATATGATTTCAAACATAGCTTGTCAAACTGAAATGACATTTCATTGTTATTATCAATCAACTTGTCAAAGTTTTCATTTAAGATATTGTTTTAAAAAATGTTCTTTTGACACTTTATTATTTCCCCTTTGTCACTGTTATTAATATTCAGTCATTTTGTGTCAGTCCATAAAGTGGTTACAGTTAATTTTTTTTATAGTCTTTCCTTACACTTCATCATACTTCAGTTCGAAAAATAAAATTATAATTGGAATTGTTGTTTCAATTCTGACACGTAGGGTACATCTCAATATATACTGAATCATGAACTTCATGTATGTCAGTGCTTACTAAATCATGGGTTACATGTCAATGTCGACTAAATCATGGTAATATAATAACATAATTATACTGAATCATGAGCTACATATGTAGTACGTCACTACTTACTAAATCATGGGTAACATGTCAATGTCGACTAAAACATGGGTTATATAATAACATATACTAAATCATGGGCTACGTCACCATTCTTACTAAATCATGGGCTACGTCACCATTCTTACTAAATCATGGGCTACGTCACCATTCTTACGAAATCATGGACTACATGTCAATGTCGCCTAAATCATGTGTTATATAACAACATATACTAAATCATGGGCTACGTCACTGCTTACTAAATCATGGGCTACATGTCAATGTCGCCTAAATCATGTGTTATATAACAACATATACTGAATCATGGGCTACGTCACCATTCTTACTAAATCATGGGCTACATGTCAATGTCGCCTAAATCATGTGTTATATAACAACATATACTAAATCATGGGCTACGTCACCATTCTTACTAAATCATGGGCTACGTCACCATTCTTACTAAATCATGGGCTACATGTCAATGTCGACTAAATCATGTGTTATATAACATCATATACTGAATCATGGGCTACGTCACCATTCTTAATAAAACATGGACTACATGTCAATGTCGCCTAAATCATGTGTTATATAACAACATATACTAAATCATGGGCTACGTCACCATTCTTACTAAATCATGGGCTACGTCACCATTCTTACTAAATCATGGGCTACGTCACCATTCTTACGAAATCATGGACTACATGTCAATGTCGCCTAAATCATGTGTTATATAATAACATATACTGAATCATGGGCTACGTCACTGCTTACTAAATCATGGGCTACATGTCAATGTCGCCTAAATCATGTGTTATATAACAACATATACTAAATCATGGGCTACGTCACCATTCTTACTAAATCATGGGCTACATGTCAATGTCGCCTAAATCATGTGTTATATAATAACATATACTGAATCATGGGCTACGTCACTGCTTACTAAATCATGGGTAACATGTCAATGTCGCCTAAATCATGTGTTATATAACAACATATACTAAATCATGTGTTTTATAACATCATATACTGAATCATGGGCTACGTCACCATTCTTACTAAATCATGGGTAACATGTCATTGTCGACTAAATCATGTGTTTTATAACATCATATACTGAATCATTGGCTACGTCACTGCTTACTAACTCATGGGTAACATGTCATTGTCGACTAAATCATGGGTTATATTTTAATGTGCACTGAATTATGGATAACATGTCCATGTGTATTTTACGTCAATGTCCACTAAACCATGGCTTACATGTCAATTTATACTGAATCATAAGTTACATGTTAATGTATATTGAATCATGAGTTACATGGTTATGTATACTGAGTCATGGTATACATGTACATGTATATGTCAATGTATACTGAGTCATGGTATTCATGGAATTGTATAATGAACCATGGTTTACATGGTAATGTAAACCTATTTATGGTTTACATGGAAATGTATACTCAATCTTGGTTTACATGGCAATGTCGACTAAATCATGAGTTACATGTCAATGTAAACTGAATCATGAGATACCTGTCAATGTATACTGAACCATGAGTTTCATGTAAATGTATATCGAATCATTGGTAACATGTCAATATAATTATGCTGAATCGTGAGTTAGATGTCAATATATACTGATCATGAATTTCATGTAAATGTAAACTGAACCATGGTTTACATGTCAATGTATACTGAACCATGAGTTTCATGTAAATGTAAACTGAACCATGGTTTACATGTCAATGTAAACTGAACCATGGTTTACATGTCAATGTATACTGAATAATGGGTAACAGGTCAATGTACATAATGTATGATGATGTAAGTGTTGTTTAAATAAAATTGTTTGATTCTCTCGTATCATCAACTTTAAATTACGCGGCGGAGGTACGGGGATCACACATCGCACCCGCTGTCGAAGTTATTCATTGTAAATTTTGTAAAAAAAATTTAGGAACTAAATTATCCACAAACCGAGAAGCGTTACATGGCGAACTTGGTCGAACACCTGTATATTCAACGGAAAATAATAATGATTAAATATTGGATTAAGTAATTATCGCTTCAAGAACGTACTATCCTTTTTTTAAACATATTCTATTTTAAGATGGACAATCTTATAATGGTAAAAATTGGGCGTACACTATTAAACAAATATTAGATGAATCTGGATTAATATTTGTTTGGGAAAACCAATATAGCATACAGGTAGATTTTAAAGCAATTAAATTCAGAATTCTTAGTTTGTATTACGAACAATGGTATACCTTGATAAATAATTCACCTCGTCTTGATACATACAGTTTATTTAAACATACTTTTGATTTAGAAAAATACTTAAGTGTACTTAAAGAACCAAAGTATAGAATAGCCTTATCTAGATTCAGAACATCGTCACACAATTTAGCTATAGAATATGGAAGATATCGTAATACTCTAAGAAATGAACGTTTTTGTGAAAATTGTCAATTTAATCAAATAGAGAATGAATATCATTTTTACTTATTTGCCCGAAGTTTTCCGATTTGAGAAAAAAGTATCTTAAACGGTATTACTACACATGGGCGACTAAGCAAAAGTTTATCAATTTAATGTCTGAATCATCGTTAACTGTAATTAATGGTTTAAGCAAATTTATATATCATGCTAACACTTTAAGAAATTAATCCTATCAAATGTGATCTGTATTTTATTCATATGATTGTAAGGCTCTTCTGAAAAAATCCTTGTACTAAAATTTTGAAGTTGAAGTTTACATTCACTTTTTTGTTGTTGTTTTGACAACACCGGAGTACTTATGTTCTACATTATGAGTTAGTTACCTTATTTGGCCGTTGTTGCTTTTGATTGGAACGAGAGCGTAATTCTGTAATTCTCCAAGAACGTTCTGTACAGTGTTGCCCGGATGATGTCGTTTGAATCGTCGGCGTCTTTTTTGTACGTTACCGAATAGTAATCTTTCAAATGTATGGTCCTGTAAGAAATAAAAATCAATATAACTTTCTGACCTTGAAAGGCAATAAACAAAAAAAGTTTTACAAACACAAAAATTGTATTCAGAGCGTTAACTTTTATAACACTAAACGCGTTTCTACATGTTTGTTTGATTGGACACAGCTTTGTCCCTTAAAAACTTATACAATTCTGAAGCATAATGTGCCTTTAAGAAAATAAGTTTATTATATATTTATGTAAAATTCAGAAATATTGATGAAATAAAATGCGTATTTTCATTTTCAATATTTTCACTGCAGTGAAGCATATTTTCTATATTTTCACTGCAGTGAGTCATATTTTCATGTTTTCACTGGTGTCTTGTCGGACAACTTTCTGCTAAATTTAACCAATATACAAAATTGAAGGGAAAGTCTTTCAAATTGTGATGTCAAAAAAGAAAAAAAACGTATATAATAAAAAGAAAATTCAAGTTTTTTGTATAAATACAAGATTTATTTTTACCGAGTGGTATGAAAATAAATATTTAATGAGTGACGGTAGCATAAGAGGGTTAATATTTGAAAGTAATTAAAATCTAAATACTAGACATTTATTATTGTAACCAGAGAAAAGAAGGTTTTTTTAAAAGGTTAGACATTTTACGACCTTCACAAATCACTCATTTTATGTACATACCTTCAGTAATTCTGGCTGGATAAACATGAAATATGGCTGGTCGGAAACTGGTTGCACCTCGACTGACTGAACGGACTCGTTTTTTGCCAGATTTAGGAAATGAGAAGGGTCAAAACTTGGATGATTGATGTCCGTGTGATTGAATAAACGCATTGAACTGTCTCCTTTAATGACAATACTGCCATCTCGCTGAAATATCATATAACAAGAATATAAATGATTTGAATCAATGCATTAGAATAATATATGCATTAAAGGGACCCTCCAGATACTCTTTTTGCCTTCGACTAGCTGCTAGGGTTGTGTTTGTGTATAAAAACCTTCTGATGTATGAGCTAGCTACTCATTGGCAAACAAAACTGCGAAAGCTATATCTCTTCATTGTCTTCTTATAAATCTATAAAAACCTTTAGTTAAATTCATAGATGTATCTATATCACCCTTGGCTAGCTGTTCAGATCAATTTGTATATTTAGGTAACCATTGGCTAGCTGTTCAGGCTATATTTACATATATCATTCTGATATATCAATGTTGCCCTAGGGTAGCTCATATAAAGCCTTCTGATAATTCTAAGTAAACCTCGTTTAAAGTGTTATTATTACTATAGGCGCATCAATGAAAAATTACTCTTCAATCTGTAAACCGTTCTTATTTAAAATAAGTGATAAATAGAATATTTTATTCATATTACTATCATTTTATTTTTTTTTCATATAGGTTAAATACTTAATTTATTGAACGAGTTGAAAAAATAAAATTATGATCGTCAAATGCTCCCATAATATGATTTTATTCGACTCGTTCAATAAATGTAGTATTAAATATATCCTCTATACATCCGGTCACCAACCTGCATTTTTAGTATATTAATATCAATTTAACACGTAATGCGGACACCAAGACAATAAAGCGATAATATATGATTATAACATTCATATTACATTCTTAGGTTAGATGACACAGTTATTATATGTAATAAATACATGACACTCGAAATATGACGCCATGATTGAAAAGAAATGAGCCGTGTCATGTCAAAACCAACATAATGGCTTTGCGACCAGCATGGATCCAGACCAGCCTGCGCATCCGCACAGTCTGTTCAGGATCCATGCTGTTCGCTATCAGTTTCTCTACTTGTAATAGGATTGGTAAGCTAACAGCATGGATCCTGATCTGACTGGTCTGGATCCATGCTGGTCGCTAACGAACTATGTTGGTTTTTTTCGTGACACGGCTCAAATATTTTACAACTGATTTAGATTTTTTGTTTCATATTTGAAATACCAAGATGTCTAATTCGAGAAAAAGGAACTTAAAAATCATCAATAATTTTACATGTCATAAATGACATTCATTCTGACTAAAGTTCAGATATACTTATTTTTATGTAGATCTGATGACAACCGTATATCTTTCGCCTTCTTTATAATTCGGATTTCCCGAGAAAGCTATATTTAGCCATGCAATCAAATCGGTTTTTACACAGGCATTAGAGGAAGAATCAAAATATCGTTATCCATGGTTATTGGATTTTGTTTAAAAAACATTGTTTGTAGTAATTTTTTAACAAATTAACTTGAAACGATAGAGTCAAATTTTTATTGGGCAAAATTGCTTGCCATTTTACGTGTCTGCTATATGGGCAACGCCATCCATGTTCGCTCTCGAAATAATGAAAATAACCTATTCCAGGGTTAAAATTAGAAACCGCGTGATAAGCTTGATATATTTTAATGTTCTTAAGCGCATCTGCTTAAGCGCATCATGCCACTCTATAGGAAAAATGTAAAAACAAGATTTTCAAGTATTCGGTTAATAAATTGTTGGTCAAGAGATTATATTCATTTGCAGCCTTATAAGTGACATATTTCTGCCAAGGGTACGCGAATTATCCTCTGTCACATATTAGTAAATATAAATATTTCAGCTGTGACGTTTATTATGAACCCGTCCGAGTTACCAGTCATAAATACATCCAACCTAATTAGACAATGCGGGCTTTAGTATATTTCAGCTGCGGTGACTGGGTCAGGTGAGTTTACATATCTGAAAGGTCCTCAAGTCATACATGTGTTAGTACAATACGACAAAAAAAATGATTGCATATTTATGAGCTTGATCCTACATTTATATGAACTTGCACCTGAAAGTACTCATGACAGCAGTAGCCCACCATATTAAAATAAATAGATAAATAAATAAATAAATAAAATAAATAAATAAATAATTAAATAAATAAATAAATGAATTTCATAGATCAGCCGGAATGAAAAGCGTTGTAACGCTTTTTCAATTTTCGGTCATTTTTTTTGATAGAATAACAGAGCCATTATTCAGGACAAATGGTGAGAGCGAATGATCTGAAATTTTGCACACAATTGATTGGTCTAGACCTGCATCAAATACAACATTAATTTGGAAAACAAACTATTCCCCGTTCTGTAATGTAAAAAATCCTTTACAATAAAAATATTTTAAAATCATATAATGACCATTAACCAATGCACAAACAAATGATGGCATGATATATTATAATAACCTGATTACTTAAACCTTTGAAAATCTGCCGTCTTTTAAACTATTGCACGTATTATAACGGTTATTTGTAGATTTTCAGACTCGGGGTTTTTTGGTCATCTCCAAAAAACATATGTCTATGTAAGAAAATAACAAATGTTAACCGCTTACTTGTATATTTACATACAATTGTTAATTTTCATATAGGCCTAAAACGTTTGAGTTGATTAATTTAAATGGCAAGATATGGTTCTAAAGGTGCATGCCTCCATATGAGGTGAAAAAATGACTTTCAAAATATTTCTGGTGTGAAACCAGACACAGTTTTTTTTAAAACTGAAACCAAAAACTGGTTTTCAAAGCTCAAGACTCACCATATAACGTGCTGACCTAGAACCAAAAATCAGAAAATGGTTTTCACAGGTAAATGCTCGAAACCAGTAACAGGTTTTTAAACTGGAATCAGAAACTGGTTTTCACAGGTCAAGATTCGATATACCGTGTTGTACTATAACCAGAACAAAAGTTTTCAAAGTGGAATCAAAAACTGGTTTTCAAAGGTCAATGCTCGATGTAACCACAGGAACTTGAAATTCTATCACTATTAACGATAATATGCAAAATATACCCCCTATATACTATAAAAAAACACAAGGAATGAAACGCATTTTCCCCACCCGAAAATAAATTTTAATAAATATTATTCTCCTCGATTCAAAATCCAGTGACGTCACGGAATGGAGTCGGCGACAAACTCAGATCGCAGGAAATAATCAGAAAATGTTGAATAATTCCTACACAGCTACGCGATTTTAAAAAGTTATCGGTGGTATTTGATGCATTTATGTATTGTTTATCGAAATGGCCAGATAGAATAATTTGATCCGTTGTTTTGTTGATTTGTTCGGCGTAAATTATGTTCGGGTGGGGAAAAGGCGTTTCATTCCTTGAACTTTTTAAAGTATATAGGGGGTATATTTGGATGTTATAATAAATATTGGTTATTTGATAGAATTTCAAGTTCCTGTGATGTAACGTATTGTACTTTAACCAGAAAAAACCGTTTTAAAGTGAAATCAGAGACTATTAGTATATTTCACAGTTCAACACTCAACATTACGTGCAGTATCAGTACTTGAAGTACGTGTGGTCCCAGAAACAGAAATTAGACATAAGAGTCTTAACTAGAAGTTAGACATAATTATGGACAAATAATCCGGTTTTCACAGTTCAAGACGAAGCAGTGTATTGGTATTTTAACAGAAATGCACGGAACTAGAAACAGATTTTTCTTTACCGTTTACGAACCATCCGTCAAAATTTTCGAGTTCAAGACTAGATGATAATTACGTAGGGTAACAGAAATAGGCTGAAATTTATCGTTGTTTTATGTCAAGAAGGAACTCCGAAAATGTCCATTAATTTGATAACTATTGGATAAAAAAGTATCTAGTTTTTAAATATAAGATACTTATTTAGCAAATATCGTATCGGATAGTTCCTACATCTCTCAGTACAATTAACAAATCAATGTACAGATACAACAAAAGATGACGTCACAAACATGTTTTAACTTTAAGTTCGAAACTAACTATAAGTATTAAGTATACATAAAAAAATCACGGACATAATAGAAAACCCTATGATTAAACATGATAAGCTCATTTAATTTATGACCAAGTGATAACCACCTGTTATTCATAAAGGAAGTCACGTGATTATGCTATGAGTGGTCCTTCCTATGATTAACAGAATATTGATCAAAACAATTTTAATTCCTCTTCATTTTGCTAAAAATAAACTTATGATACACGTACAAGTACTTTGAAATAATTCATTTAAAGGTTATTTACTGTAAACAAAAACATACGTTTTCTGTCATGCAAGTAAGTGATTACTAAAAAGTCATAACTGTGTAAAACTATCAATAGCGCAATAAGTCACTGTCAATAATTAATCAATAAACGCTGATGAACGCTTGGTTTTTTCCGACTATTCATGATTACTTCACGTACATTGCTTCTCGGTTATTGGAAAAGCAAAAATTGTGACATTTAATATGATAAAATATGGCGTCACAGTTACGAATATAGGTTCAAAATAGGCATTTTTCTTTTAGATTAGCGCCACCATTCTTCGCCTACTATTTTCAAGACAAACCATCACGTTAACGTTACGTCTTTGAGTGAGGAGATATGGGCGTTGTTATCGTACTGAACGGAAATAGCTGATGACGTTGTCACGTAAAGCCACAGATTACGTCACATATGACTGCTACACAACGTTTAATGCGTTGTTACGTAACGGGTAATCGAACCGGTGTTATCATATCATTTTTCTTCGTGCATTTGTCGTAAGATGTTATCTTTTAATACACCAACTTGCTAAAATCAAACATGTACTCCCATGTAGTAACTGCATATAATTTGATAGCACATGACCACTTGGCTTTAACCACCAATGTGATTAAAGACGATACAAAAATATATTCGGCTAAAGTCAAAACTTATTATTGAGAATTAAGAATAATTTGAACGCTTGACATTCTAATAAAAAAAGGAAATGGATTACAACAATGTTGTTAATAGGCATACTAGTGAAAAACTAAAAAACATTTAAGTCTTAATCTTATTTTAAAAAAGAAAATAAAGACAGACACGTATGCA